TAAGTGTCCTTGAGAGAGCAACCGTTTGGTTAATTTCCTGATGTGGTTAATTAAGCCCTTAACCCAGTCACCAGTAATTTCAAGCAGAGAAGGAAAGTTGCAGTGATTATTGGGGGTAGTACAGTAAGCCTGCTGGCTGCCTTGCTAAACAAATTTGTTCCTTGTCTGTTATGCATTTATGTGAAGTTTCTCAGTGTTAAGCTCTGTGAAAGAAAGGGCAAATGTGACAAGGAATGTGTGGACACCCATTTTCTAAAGGCAGGAACAGAGGTTTGTGGGAGGTAGGTAGAAGGTGCAGTGGTGAGAATGCCTGTGGGCACTTGGAAGCTTTTCTGCCTTAGTGCTCCCACCATTGTAACCACCAGAGAAGCTTCACCAGCTTTGGCAGCGATGGGAATTTTTTAGAAGACAAAAGCTTAGGAGTTTAGTCATCTTCCTGTATCTAGACTTAAATATTTTCAAAAGCATTTTTCATCACATGACTAGAAGTCAGAGAAGAGGTCAGATGTCATTTAACTCCGTTATGTGCGCATTTTTATCAGAGGGAATTTCAAATAAAGATATTGAACAGTAGGAAAACTTATAAATACTTTAAATGCTTAATATTTAGGAATGCAAAAACTGTTTTAAATACTTGATTCTGAAGTGATTTCTGTGTCTAAACTAATAAGGCTTTTTTGGTAGTCATTTTATAACAGAGTACACTGTTTTCAAGGAAAGCAAGGAGCAAATAAGTAGCAAGGAGAAAATTCAAGTAACATTTCATGAAGTCTTTCCTTCAATGTCTCTGCAATATCCAAAAGCAGTCTGATTTTTCTCCATGCTTCTTTAATATAATTTTCTCAATAACTTTACAAATATTTCATATTTCTTTCATGTTACTTATGATTAACTCTTAAAATTCCAGGCCACATGATTTCTTTCTTTTTTGTTGACTGGGGAAATTTCTAGAATCAAACTCCTATATCACTCCAACATTGTTCTAGCAAGAGAACCATAGCCCTTTTTGAGCTTCATGCTGTACATACAAAGAGGATACTTGCTAATAACAAACAGCCAGTATCATTAAGCACAAGTTATAAAACATCACCCAATCCTAACCTAAGGAAAATGGTAAAACAGGTTGATATCTTGATTTTTTTAAAATACTATTTTGATAATGCAATCTTGATATGAATAATGGCTTGTAGTGAGGAGGAGCTTTGAACATTATTGCATGGCTACTTTCCATATCAGTGAGGAAAAAGCCACTTATTATTTACTAGTCTATCAAACCACTGTTCAGATATAGCCATTCCATTTCTGACCAGCTAAAGATCAATTGGCAGATCTGTCAGCTTGAAATGTTTCCCCTTAAATATTACTTGAGCAAGGACTGGATTTTTTTTTTCCTGACTTCACAGGTTCTTTTTTAAAAGTGGCAAATTAAGAAAACAGGGTGTATTAAGTTAAAACCTCTAAAACCAAAACTATATTCTTAGTTTGAAGTAAGCATTATTTCTTTTTGTGACTTTGAAAGCAGTATTTGTTTGTTCACTCCATTCTCCCCATCCAGTTGCTGAACAGCAGTGCACAACAGAGATTTCAGATCTGGCACAAGCTTTGACCCACATCTACTACACTGCTGAATAAGTGTACTTACTTCTCAGGTGTACCCTAAAGATGTAAAACTAGCCTTTAGACAGCCTTTAGAAGCTCTGCCTAACAACCTTTGTGAATACTAGAAGTAAGCATACAATCAACTGGGTTTTGGCATGGTAATTTAACATGAGTATCTTCAGTCAGCATCACACTGTGGCAGAGTTGTTCCCTATTCGTAGGATCAGTTCGTAAGTATTACCTTTTGCTCCTGGATATTCCTCATTTTCAAAAGCATCCCCACCCAGAGACAAATCTAATTTGACCAAACATGTTGGAATTTTTTTAAAACTTTGGTGACATCTTTTAGGTCAGCTTATTTTCTGCTGATCGGTGGCTTTTCGTTGTGTACTATTGGTAAGACATCTTTGGTCCTTGATGATTAGGCTATGAGATGTTGAAGTATAGTGATAATTTAATTTTAAAAGCAGTGCAAGATGGTATTTAGTGCACCACAGTCCAAGGAGATGTGCAAAATTCTGAAGGCTTTTATACAGATAAAAATAATAAATTATTCACTAAAGTTAGATACTGCTCCACAAAGACCAAGAACAATAACTAATATGTGTCACTCTGAAAAGACTAGGCATCTGGGGAATACACAATTTAGGAGTCCAAATTAATTTTAGCAAATTAAGCTGGAGAACTGGACATCATTGTAGAAACTTGGAAAAGACCTTTGCTCAAATGCACCTCTGTTAAAATAAAATTAAGGGAGATCTTCAGAATGCATTTTATTTGCCTCAGTACCATAGTTGAGTATTGTAATGCCTTTATAAAGACCAAGGATATCACCTTGCCTGGCAGACTCAAAGTACATCTGCAGCTAGAAAGGACATTGGGGAAAAAAAAAAGGACATAAAGATTAAAAAAAAAAGGAGTGAGAAATCTCAGGTATCAAAGAGCTACCATATGAGAAAGCACTGAAAATATTGCATCTTCTTTAATTTAGAAAAAAGGCCCACAGAAAAAAAAAAGACAGAAGGCAGTAAATCAATGACCAAAGACTGATCAAGAGCTTTGACTCTTTTATAAAATAGTAGTAGATATTAAACCTCATTCTTCAAAGGTTAGTTCCTTGTTGACTAGAGAGAGATCTGAATGAGAATCTGAGCAAAGTCATCTCTGCAAACAGGATTACAGAACTGCATGACTGCTTTGAAAATGTTATCACTGAGTTATTCCAAAACACACTACTAAAAAATGAGCTAATTCTGAGCTTAAAGGTAAGGTAAACATTTTACAGTAGGCTTAGGCAATTGCCCAGTTAAAGCACACAGCTGTAAGGTTGTTCTGATTACAGTACGCAAAACCTGTGATTACAATTTAAGGCATCTGGTGGTTCTGGTTGCCAGATTTTAATACCTCTTGTCACTGTGCTTGCAACCTTAGAAAACAGTTTTGTTTGGACACATGGGTCTGCATTTTCATAATTTATCTTATTTGAATATCTGTAACTCTAAGCCTATCACCAAGTTATCTAACCTCTTTCAAATAATATTCATGTGATGTATTCTAAATCATCGAAGTATTCTTTTGACTCTAGTTTTAACAGTTTGTCTTCACATTCATTTTTCAACTTAAAAATATTAAATAGGTAACTTAGGGAATATGTTATTTGTGCTTACTTGGAATCATGAAAAATGAACACCAAAAGGCTTTTGAGATTTAAAGCCAGTTTCATGATCTGGTTCATTTATTCTAATTTAGAGCAACATGAAGCATCATAATGGTATTGACCTATAAAGTAGCTTTGGAGTTTCTTGTGGATTTTTTCCCTTAAAAATCCTACAAAGTATGATTACATAAACCCCTGCTCTTCTTTCCTTCATGTTTACTAATCCTCTTTCACTTTTGTGCATTCTCTCCATGTACACATCTTGAAATCTCTTTTCCTGACCTGAACCAATATACATAGTCATCCCTCTTTGCTTATATTCACTTCTATCTTCATCGGACAATGCAAAATTGTAGAAAGTAGGACTTTTAATAATTTTTATTTTATTTTTTTTAGTATCAGGTGCTCAGTTCCATCTTTCTTCAAAGATGAATAAAATTATTATTTTCAGCCAAAATGCCCATCATCTCCCACTGACCTTAGTGAAAGCAGAATATGTTCCCATTGCACAGAAAGCGAGGCCCTTGGCTTTCCATGAGAGGGAGGTGGAAGAACTTTTTCAATACAGACTCCAGTTAAGGCAGCCAAGACTGAGCTTCATCAACAACACTGAGGATTAGCAGCCGTTTTGCAAGACTGCAGTTCTTTGTGGCACATTTCTTTGTGGCACATTCATCAGGTCCTGCCAAGGAACCTCCTTCCTTTATTAGCCCACTCAGAATTTCTGAAGAGGGGAGAATAGCTTGGGTCATTTACAAGAAGGAAGGGCACAGGAATTAAATGCTTCAGTCCCCATGCATGAGTTCGGAAGCTTGGCAGTTTGTTTTGAACAGCATGTCTGTCTTTTCCAATACTTTGCACAAATTTGGAAGGTGCAGCAGGGATTATTTGCTAGATTTCTCCTCTGCCGCATGACTAGTTATGGGAAGATAATTTTTAATCTCTTTTTAATTCAATTAATAGCTGGCATATAAAACTTGTGTTGATATATGTTAACCTTGATTACATGATCCTTATTTTGGACAAAGTAATTGTCAAAACCTAAGAGCTGAAAATTAAGGGGCATATTCTTTCAGTAAATCTGCTTTAAGATTTAAATTTTGTTATAAAATAGGATTCCTATCTTAAAGAAATTGCAGGTGAGAAAGAGATATTAATACATTCGTATTTGAAAGAAGGAACAGTTAGTTGACAGCATTTCACTGATTCTTCATGGGATTTTTCATGAAACATTCTATTTTTTGTGTAAGACTTTGGCTGGCATGTATTCTTGAAGAAAGTAAATATAAAAATGAAATCACAGATGGGAAAAAGCATGTCTCTTAAAGTATGCTTAAATTGCAAAAACAGCTGGGAAAATTGAAAAAAATAGTTTCACAATTAAGGTTTGTAATATAGTTATGGTGATACATTTTTGGAGAGACAAAATTCTCTAAAGTCATCAATCTGGGACTGTCATGCTTTATTACTTCAAATCATATAAAATCATACAATTTGATGAAAATACTTTATCTAAGTTGCCAAAAAAATGAGGACAGCTCAATCATATTGGAACACATTCCAAAACATTGCTCTTATAGCCAAGATTGTCTTTTTTTAAGCAAGTTTTAAATTGGCAAGAAAGAAAACACAACATG